CTGACTGTAATTCAAAGTTTATATTTTTTTATATTATCTTGCTAGCTCGTACCCGGCGCATTGCTGCCGCAGAAGAAATAATTGTGTAAATATCGTTAAAAATGTGTAACAGTTATATTGTATAATTAGGAATGATAATACAATAATTGAAATAGAATGATATTTAACTTTCAAATAAATAGTAAGTATAGTACGCACGCCACCTAGTATTAGTTAATTTTACCATGCGTATAACCTTCGCACAAGTGTAACGAGTTGTACACACGTGTAATAAGTTGACTAAGTTTTACCGCAATCTGATGAACGCTATGGCATCGTAGAAAGTACGAACAAACATAAAATTTTATATAGTAGAAAATATTTTACTGTCTATAGTCAGACCTGCAGTTGATTAGAATAGGCGTTATTATAGCAGCTGATTTGTTTTTTATAATACTGGAACTAAATGAACGGTGGACAATAAATTATTTTAGAAATTATGTTTTTTTTTATTTTGTGTAGTTTAATCTTAATAATTTTTTTAGTTGAATGGTCTAAGGGCTAAGATGGCTATCCGAGTACAGAACCAGAGTACAAAACTAATCCAACTGTAGAGATGTGTAAAATAGGGTGACGTAATATCCCCGAAATACTTTACCGCTGCATTGGAAGACGTTTTCAAGCTACTGGACCAGAAAGGATACGGTATTAACGTCAATGGCGTGTACGTCACTCACCTTAGATTTGCCGACAATATAGTCCTTATGGCAGAATCGGTGGAGGACTTAAGCACTATGCTCAATGACCTCAATAGTGCCTCCCAACGGATAGGTCTTAAGATGAACATGGATAAGGTACATTTTCTTCTTTGGTTAAGGTTTCTTACCATGTTGTACCTTATACAAGGTACAAGGTACAACATGGTAAGAAAATCATGTGTAATGTCCATGTCACACCTATGCCGGTGGTTTTCGAGAGCACTTATCTGAAGTTGTTGACGAGTATTTTTACTTGGGACAAATAGTCCGACTAGGTAAGTTCAACTTCGACCGACAGGTCAATCGACGGATTCAACTCGGCTGGGCAGCGTTTGGGAGATTACAATACATCTTCTCGTCAAGAATACCTCAAAACTAGATTGTAAAACCAGTGCGTGTCGCCAGTTATGTTTGTGTTATGGCAGTTATGATCTATGGATCTGAGACGAGGTCTTTCACTGTTGGCCGTATGAGGAAGCTGGAAGTCGCTCAACGAGCTATGAAGAGGGCTATGCTCAGGTATTCAAACTTAGGAATGAGGATATTAGGATATCGTATATACGATAGTATATAAGTTATATTTTTTTTGTCTAATTTAGTGCACCCTACCCATTATTCTTCTTTTTATTTTTATTAATTTCCTCTTCTGGGTTGTCTGGAAGAGATTGCTATGTAGCAATAAGACTGCCTTTTGTTTATCCCTCATTATTTTTTCATTATTTATTAATGTTTTGTTGTTGTACAATAAAGAGTATTGTATTGTATTGTATCTGCAGCAGAACCAGAGTGACCGACATCGACCACTGGATTAGTAAGCTGAAGTGGCAATTGACCGGCCATATAGCTCGAATAACCGAATACTGATGGGGAAAAAAGGTTCTCGAGTGGCAGCCTCGTACCGGCAGGTGAAGTGTAAGACGTTCCACCACTAGATTAAGTCAAAACCTGGTAAGACATGTAGGAAGTTGATGGATGCAGGTAGCTCAGGACCGTGTTTTGTGGCATTCCTTGGGGGAGGCCTATGTTCAGCGGTGGACCTGTGAAGGGTTTTAATGATGATGAATAATAACATTATATTAATATGATACATAAATAGAATGGACGTTACGGGTAGAGTCCATCTATCCATAGAGTCCATTCTATTTATTTAGGTACAGGTAGGGTGTAGAATTTTTATCGATATAATTTGGTACACTGTCTTGTCCCTATTATTAGTTCCGTGGACGTGTACTTCTGCTGTCAGCGCCAAAATGGATTAAATCAAATCGCTTCATCATGTCACGGTGTATAGCCAGTCCAGCGTACTTGTATATATAGAGGTCAGTGCCGTAATACTCCGATAGGAGCAAAGAGTTTATAAAATCTATAACCTCCTTGAATGAGACTAATAGTGTTCTGTGATTTTAAAGGTTTTGGCGGGAACTTGGCCGTCGCCGGATTGTCACTCCTGTTTTGTCGCTTGAATAATGGTTGGAAGTGGATTTTAATTTGTAAAAAATTTGTGAATTAAGTGTCTGCGCGTGTGAATTGTTTGATAAAACGACGAAACAAGTGCTTTGATGTTGATATAAACCTCAAGTTAATTTGATCGCTCAGGTGCCTTACGAACGTGAGTGGCTGTTGTCATCAACTGTACGCTGGGTTGAGCTGTCGTCGAAATCTAAAAAACTTCATAATGTGACGTATTAGCAATTTGTGCAGAAATAATATATAAAAATAGATATAAATATATAATAAGAAATGATAGGCTCAGAAGAACTAGAACCCAGAGCCGTAAAGCCAGTTAATAAAAAAAGTCCGTGATTATTTCTGAAAACTTCGAACTATGAAAAAGAGAATTCAATTTCAACATTGAAGCAATAAGAAACAGGAATGGCCTTTAGTGAAATTTGTAGAATTTGTTTAAGCGTAAATGTACGCATGTGTGTACTAAAGAAGACTGCACTCCAACATTTGTATTAAGCATTGACGAACAGATTTGTACGCATGGAGGTTTGTAAGTTTGATTTTATTTCAGTTTGTTTTTTTATTGCAAATTGAAGTTGCGGTAAATTGTTGTTATCGGTGGAGAAATGCATTGTAACTTGCCTGATATTAAATGCGATAGATCGGGGCTAGGCTAAGATGCAGCGTTAAATTAAGAGTCAAATACAACCAGAATCTGAAAAACAATAATTAGCTTGGAATCCTGGGCCGCTCATAATAAGTGCTGTCATTGAAGTAATATCTACTACGTACTAAAAGTGACGACGAGACGTAGTGTTTGCAACACGCGTTGGGGCCTGCGGGCTCAAACTTACCGAGTCTATTGCTTCCTTCCAAGCGACCCGCACTGCTGCATTGATTTGTTCGCGGTGTTTGTTCTAGTGCATGTTACTTCAATGAGTATTATTGTGAATTTCTTACTTCTTCTAACTAGAACATAGTGCATGTTACTTCAATGAGTATTATTGTGAATTTCTTCCAAAGAATTAACATCCACCTTAGTTTGATGTTTCATCCACTTGTAGCAGTTCTATCAAACTTTTAAACTAGGAGATTAGGAGTGCACAGAAATTCCCTCATATTCCTATCAGACAGAAATCAGAAGAGGGAATAATCTGCACATTTAAATTAATAAATATAGGAAATCTTCACATGTGCTTGAACACACATGCAATATAATCCTGTCCTGCATTGATATATATTCTCTGTTGTGACCATTTGCTGTCTGTAGTAGGGGTGGGTAATATCACTTTTAGCCTATATCAAATCGTACCTATGTATTGGAAACGAATATCTGATATTGTATCTATATATTTGTTGATATTTTCGTTCTGAAAAGAAGTCAGCTATACAGTATCACATGGTGACACACGATTTATGAACGCATTTTCTTATATGTATATATTGTAATATTTATGTAATCTAAGTATCTTTAAAATCTCATAATATAAGAAATGGCATAGAGGTATATATCAATAGGATTTAGCCTGCGTGATAATGAAATGGAATATTATTTTTATTGTCGTGTTTACGCCATCTAGCATATTTTGTGCGTACCACCACCTTGAGAGTTAACCAATTTTTGTTCGATAAAATCATTTTACGTATAAAATGAAGTAGATGGCGCTATTACAAAGTATTGTTTTGCTCGTTTACTCTAAAAAAACATTTTTAATTTATTACACTTAAATACATTTCTAAAAATAAGGACTGTAACATTTATTTGCTATAAAATTAAACTTTTATATTTTATACACTTGTGGTTGAAAATTATCATATTGTTTATGACTTTGAAGGTCGGGGTGTATTTTGCATTCGTTGTTAAACTGGATAAGGTTATTATAGTGGTTATAACCCTATAATTTTTCAGAATCGGTGAAATAAACTTTCCTTCATACTTTTATCAGGCATAGGACTGACTGCATCACTTAATAATAGTAATAAAAAGGTAATTAGTAATGCGAAGTATTATTAAGTTAATATATAACTTCGCGTTATACATTCCCTGTTTAGGTAGATAAGTAATAACATTTGCTTTTTACGACAGTTGTGTCTGTATAATATACAATAATTTTTAATAAAAATATGTAATGCAGGCGTATTTAAAAATTCATTTCATGACATTTACATACTTTTTGACATTATTTACAATTAAATATTTACATTATGGTTTTACTTATTCATGTAAACCTATTTTTGTCTAAATTTACATTTAAAAAGGTGAGTTGTCTTACTTTTTGGGATGTAAGTCGGGTTCTACGGTCATTTAATAAGATGCTCGTTTTGCTAAATATACGTTCACATGGAACAGATGAAGCCATTGTATTTCCATATTTTTGAAAAAGTTTGGCAAGATGTGGTTATGTAAATTTGTGGCCACGCCACCACTGAAGAGGACAGCTCCATTTGTCGCCATGGAAGATTGGCTGTAGGTCGTCGTTTAAATATGTGTCGATCTCCTTAATGGCCTTTGATAAAGGAGTCCCGACTGTCTGCTGCTTTTGTCCTATTATTTCGTTCAGGATAGCACGAAAGCCATAAATTTTTGTACTGATGGCTGTTATAGAGAATGATTGTTCCTCATGTGAACACTCTTGAGCAATCATCGCAACTAACATATCCTGGATATGATTTTTTGTGTTTTTGGCCTCATTCTGATCACTAAAAACAGATAATTTGTATCTAGGATCGAGGAACGTGCATGTCCTGAACGTTTTACTTCGTTCCACAAGGCCGAATCTTGTCACCAGGCCTGTTCTGAGACGATAGAGGACATTTTTATGTTTCTAAAATTGGCTCCGTTAAGAGTTTATCACTCGCCGCTAAAAGGCAGCGTGTCATTACAATGACAAGACTACCGTTCATGTAATTTTCACCGCTAATTGTTTCTGTGGCTTGATGGAATGGTTGTAGAATTTTTATTAAGTCTGAAAGAAGATTCCATTCATCATTTGTGAGTGTAGGCAGATCTTTTTTAAGAATGGCCATTGTGGATCTAATGTACTGCTCCATTTCAACGAAGCGCTGAACCATAAGAAACGTTGAGTTCCAACGTGTGGGGACTTCTTGTATAAGGCGCTTCGGGATGCAACCAGCTGTATTGTCCGTTTGTGCCTTTAAAAGTTTTTCCAAAGCCGTGGAGCTTGTTTTAAAATGGCGAACGATTTTTTTAACCTTTTCTAAAATTGGTTGAACAGTTGTGAGGGAATCCTGAACTATTAAATTCAAAATGTGGCCATAGCATCCAAATTGCTTCCAGCCGATGTTATGAATGGCCTTCTGTACATTATCAGCGTTGTCTGCTACGGCAAATATTATTTTATCAGTTAGGCCCCATTCAGCCACAATATTTTTTAATACTTCCTGTATATTTTCACCGGTATTGGAGTCATGAAAATTGCAACAATCAAGTAAAACAGTTTTGAACTCAAAATCATCTGTCATATAATGAGCGGTGATGGCTATATAGGACTCGTTCGATCTTGAGGTCCATAAATCTGTCGTAAGACATATAGAATAGTTGCACTCTGGGCCTAATACCATTTTCATTTCCGATTTGGTTTTATTGTACAATGCAGACAACATGACGGTGGAAATTGTTTTTCTACTTGGCAGTTGGTAGCCGGGAATCCACCGAGCAAATTTTTTAAACGCCCTTTCCTCCACCAATGAAAATGGCTGGTAGTTATCAATAAATAGATCTAATAGATCTCGATCAATTTTCTTTTTAGTCTCATCATCATCGTTCATTAATTCATTCATTTATTCATCATTGGATATTTTTTGCCGTGCCATATCTTTCTATTGTTTGCTGCATTGTAGTCTTCGGGATATAACTTGCGGCAGTTGACGTACCAGCGGCAGATGACGTACCAGCAGCAGATGACGTACCCGCGGCAGATGACGTACCATCGAGAAAATTGTTTAAATTCATATTTAATGATTTCTTATATTTACGCGAACACTATACATGATTAAAACTACTTTTAGGGATTTTATCGCGTTTATTTTTACTTTTTATTTACTTTTATTTTTAATTCCCGACGTTTCGGGCGCTTTCCAGCACCCATGGTCACGGGGGACTGAGATGACTGACATCCCGATGTCATTGTTAAACCCGGAGTACCTTCAGCTTTTTTAATTATTGTTTATGGTCCGATCTATGCAAAATGAACTGACTATGTCCTGAGGTCTTGCATTGGTATGCTTGGGTTTAGTTTTAATTTTATTGATTATAGGATCCCAAGCAGGTGGTAGTACCCAGCCTCCTTCTCTATTGAATGTTTTTTAATTTCAATAGCCTCACGTATCATCCTTGGTGGGAATCGGTGTTCTTTCGCGAGGATTTGTGGTCTATCAAATCTGTGACAGCAAACACCTGGCCGCCGAGCTTCAGCACGTCAAGCAAGTTCTGGACGACAACAAGCTTCGGGTCCCGCGCCTACGTCACAGTGACCGAGTGAAGCCGGCCACAGTCGAGCGTGTGCCTGCTGTACTACCATATGTCAGAGGTGTCACAGACAAGAAGTCAAACAAATTTCTGGGAACTACAGCTTGGCTTGGAACTGTTTCTGTGTATTTGTCAATGTCAAACAAAAAAACCAATGATAAAATTAAGTGATCCTTGATATAAAAAAGTCACACTCATTACACATACATATTCAAAAGCTCTTGCTTAAATATAATACTTGGTTACCAAGTACTGCTCCTGTTGAATGACTGTTTTTGTTTGGTGGAAAGATTATGAGAGGCCACATAAATGGAATATGAAAGATCAACTCTGTGAACAAATACTAGTGTCAAAATCAATGAAATATGGTATTTTATTTAAAAAATCTATTTTGAATACATATTTTGCGTTTTATATTTTTAAATACTTACTTTAATTGAAAAAATAACTAAGCATTTGCATTTTGAATTTAAATATGTTTACTAAACTTGTTGGCGACGCGCCTATAAGAATATTTCAGTTTATTAAGTCAACCGATGACGAATAACGTCTCAAAGGCATATTGTCCAATAGCAAGGTTCTGAAAAGAAAATGCTTAGTTAAATCTTAAAGAAATATCGAATTAATGATATGAAGGTCTTGGGTTCGACTCCCAGGCCGGACTAGTTTATTTGTTTTCCTAAGTAATATCGTTTAATAAATTCATAGGGAATTTAAGATATAAATTATGCTACCGGATTTGTTCCCGGTTGAAATCATCTTTCCAATGATGTAAATTCAAAGAAATATTAAAGTAAAGTTAAAGATCGGATTTGTTCCCCGGTCGAGATGATCACTCTGTGCATAAACAGAATTAACGGAAATTAATTGCATAAGTATTGTTTTATATGAGTTTGATATGTTTTGTACGAAAGCAAATGCCTATCTGTTATGATTGATTTATGAAAACATTCACTTATATTGTTTGATAGGAAACGTGATAGCTGATAGGAATCTGATTAGAGATAGTTTCCTACAGTTCGAATATTGTGTAAAAGCATTTAATTTACCTAATATTGTTAAAATTAGTGTATATCAGACTTCCATTTTTTCTGATAGCCGAGAGCCGTGCAAAAGTTAGTTGTTTAAATAGTGTGAGTTCATAGACGCACGCTAAGCCACGCCCTTAGGAGGCCGAATATGTAGAAATTTAAAATGTTTGTAATTTCAGCAATTTATG